CTTAAAGGATCATGTGCTAGATGAAACAAAAAAAGAATCAGCCCAACAAATCCTTGGCGTACTGTTGGCGCAGGGCGCCAGTCCCTAAACTTCAGAAGTTAGGCCTAGGCGCATTGCTGGCACATGGTGCCAAACTCTGAAATTCAGAAGTCAAGCCTAGGCGCATTGCTGGCGCGCCGCTCTAGGGCCTGAACTATTGAAGACCAGGTATGGTGTATTACTAGCGCACTGCCCTAGGGCCCTCCCCAACATCTTCGATGAATTTTCAAGTTAAATTAGGACACCAAATTAATTTAGAATTGGGAAATTGCTCCCAAACTCTTCTTGTTTCTCAAACCGAAAACAAATACATGAGAATTTTCATACAATTCCTTTTGTAAACATAAATTTAGTAAATCAATAGGGTTCATGTGATACTAAGCATGAACAACACTATAAGACAAAACAAAAGAATCAAAACCTCAACGGTTAAAGAACCGAATTCAATATCAAGAATTACGAATGAATCTTTTAGATGTGACGATTTCTGAATGATTGAGATGTAGGGCATGAGGACGAGTTAGTACAACACTATGATAGCCTTACATACCTGTACATAACAAAGGTTCTTGGTGAAAATTGATGGAATTTTGAAGAAAGCTTGAACCCTAGCCTTTTCTCCTCTTGGAACCATGCTCTAATTCTTATAAGTGTTAAAGAATGCGAAAACATGTTTTAACACTAATTAGACCCTTAATTAGGTGAATAAAAACATGGCTTAGGATTAGAAGGAGTGGGAAAAGACCAAACTACCCCTCTAAAATGATTTAGGTTCCTTAAAAAGAAGGCTTCACTAAAATGAGCATATCATTTTACTCCGAGCTTAAAATGAAGCAAACTCGGCGGCATTGGAAAAATGACTCAAATAACTTTAATTTGATAGGTCATGGGCCACCTAATTCTTTATGTGCTAAGATATATGATCGTTTTAAGTTTACCTAAGTAGAATCTTACGTCAAAACTTAATCGGTAAGAAAGATTTCAACTTAACTTTGTGGTAAGGGATTCCAGTGACCTTAATTGATATCCAAAATCATTTCCACACTAATGAATTGACCTTAGAATCTAAGAACAATTAAGAATCACTCGGTACGACCTTATACGCAATTCAAGAATGGTTCAGATCTTAATTTTGAAATTTTTGGGGTGTTACAATTAAGCACCCTTTTAACCATCAGATAGGGAACTATGTGCTAGTAATTGAAACCAACAGTGAAGAATCCGAACAGGGATGCCTCGATAGAATCTAGAAGAGACATTCCCATGATAAATCCACCCAATCAGAATAGATTTATGAACATCATAATATGAAAACTCCAGGGGAGGAAATGATTTGATTTTTAAGGAAACTCTAGGGGTCGATGAAGTTTAACAGACATTTACATACGTTTCCTAACACATACTGCTTTAGCTATGCTACCAAGCATACCAACAATGCCATCTCTAGAATACATCCTCTGCTGTTCATCATAATTCTGCAAATGATCATTGCAGGAAACATGGCTTCAGAAAGAATCTGACGATGCCAAACCATATAATTTGATAGTTAGCAAAGTTGTTGCTCTTAGTAATGCGCTACAAACTCTTAAGAGAGTAGAGGTTAAAGAAAAGGGAATCGCCGATATCAAAAACTATTTTCCCTTTGAAATGTAAATGTGAATAGGTTTGCAGAGGAAAAATATGAAATGAGGAGACATGGGACACTAGTCTTTTGTAATATCAAAAACATAAAGATAGATTTTCAGAAGAATATATTAGAGAGGTTTCTGTTTTAACTATGTGGTGATCTGCAACATCTTAAACCTTTACATATTGAGCAAATGCAATCTACTCTAGATTAGGTTTTGAAATTTTAGTTAAAACTGTTGGTTATGCATGTAACTGGTTATTTTTTCTGATTGTATCATGTTAAGATTATAGTAGTTTTATCGCACCCAAGAGTGTGGCCTAGAAGTGGTTGAGAGTCATGAGGTCTATAGATTCAAATTACAACGTAGACAAAAAAAACTAGGCGATTCTTTCTGTTTGTCCTAGTTTTGTTGGACAGAATTACCTGATACCTTTTGTTGGTGGGAGGTGGCAGGTATCTCGTGAAATTAGTCGAGGTGTGTGAAAGTTAACACCAGAGTCATAAAAAAATGACTCTAGTAGTTGTATCATTGTGTTGCTTCTTGAAGCTTACTGAACTCAAGATTTAATCACTATACGGCTAGTATTCTATGGGATAACTTGATATTACAGCAGGATACATCCTTGATCCTAGCAATTTGTTATTAGTTACATGTTTGTATCCAGACTTTTGTCTTGTTACAAAATGTACATAGTCATATTTACTCATAGCATAATTATAGATAGAGATCTTTAGGGATCTTAGATATATTTAAGGATATTTTCTGATTTTATTTCCTTAGATAGATTTACATGTACACCAACAAATAACTCTTATTCTTGGAATAATAGAATAAGAAATTGGTCCATTGTCTTTATATTTTACATGGTATCAGAGCATTATATGTTCTTTGTCAGTCAGAAAGCTCACCGAAGCTCACCAGAATCCGGTCAGTGTCCGTGAATGAAATTAGTGAACTTGAATTTAGTTTCTACCACACGTGAGTGGATTAAGCTTGGTCCAACTTTCTTTTCCAGCATCGACTTGTCATTTCTGGCTGATTAGTGGTGCTCCCCTAATTATAGGACCAATTTTTCCGAGAAGAAAACCCTCCAAACAGAATATGTGGACCCTCTTTGGTCAGGTTTGAGACTTCTCTGTTTGTTGCTAATTATACTAGATTATGAAAATTGTGTATGAGTGCAGCAGTGGAATTGTTGCTTGACCAACTTGTGAGTTGATATTGTTTTGGAGGCAATTTGAACCTTATTTCAGAAATTTTTTTCCAGAGGGCCATCGAGTTTAGCTAGTGCAGTTTCTTTTTTTATTGTGTTATTAGGATGCTGTTTGTTTGTATGGGGATTTTGAAACACTTTCAAATATAGTTGATAAAATGACAGATCATTTAAAAGTTGTTGCTTCACGTTTATTATCCGACAAAATGGTTTTGGTTTTGGTTGAGGAGTTTGCCAAATTTTCTCAATATCAAAATATTTCCTCATTGGATGTGAGTCATGCCAATTTGCGAAACACCATCGCATCTCATTAAGTCCAAGGGTTAATAAGAGAGTCGAGTCAGCTTTTGAGTTAATTCATTCTATGTTTGGGGACCATGTCCTGTTGTTTCCAAAATTGGGCATAAATATTTTGTCACCTTTGTAGATGATTTTTCTCGAATGACTTGGATATACTTTATGAAGAGCAGATCTGAAGTGTTCACTCACTTTTCTACCTTTTGTGCTGAAGTCAAAACTCAATTTGATGCCAAAGTGCGCATTCTAAGGAGTGATAATGCTAAAAAGTATACGTCAGAATTATTTAGGTCTTACATGAGACAACATGGTATTCTCCATCAATCTTCATGTGTTGATACACCCTCTCAAAATGGAGTTGCCGAGAGAAAAAATAGGCATCTACTTGAGACAGCTTGGGCACTGCTGTTCCAAATGAAGGTTCCTAAGCAATTTTGGGCTGATGCCATCTCTATTGCTTGTTTTCTGATCAATCGCATGCCATCATCTGTATTGGTCGGTAATACGCCGTATAATATTATTTTTCCAAGCAAATCATTTTTTCCAGTGGAACCTAAGGTGTTTGGAAGAACATGTTATGTTAGAGATGTTCGACCATCTATTACCAAGTTAGATCCTAAAGTATTAAAGTGTGTTTTCTTGGGCTATTCTCTCCTTCAGATGGGGTATCAGTGTTATTCTACTAAACTTGGTAAATATTTAGTATCAACTGACGTGGTATTTTCAGAGACTACACCATTCTTTTATACACCTCCAAATTCTATAAGTCAGGAGGAAGATGAGTGGTTAGCCTATCAGGTTACTCGTGTTGTAACAGAACAATCAGCTAATATTGTTTCTCTATCTCCTAGTTCTTTTATTGAGCATCAATCGACCATTGTGCCATCACAACCTACTCAATCCGCACAAGCAAGACCACCAATTGTTCAAGTTTACCCAAGGAGGTGAGAGATTAACGATACATACCCTACATCAACTCCATCATCAGATCCTTCTCCATTTGATCCGTCAGAAAGCTTTGACCTTCCTATTGCTCTTCGAAAATGTACACGTCAGTGCAAATCCACATATTCCATAGCTAATTTTGTTTCTTATGATCACTTATCTCCTGCATCTAGTTGTTTGATTGGCTCTCTAGACTCTGTGACTATCCCTAAAACAGTAAAAGAAGCCTTGAATCATTCTGGATGGCATAATGCAATGCTTGAAGAGATACATGCTCTAGATGAAAATCATACTTGGGGATTTGGTGGATTTACCCAAGGGATAGAAAGCAGTAGGATGCAAATGGGTTTTTATCGTCAAAGTCAATCCTGATGGTTTTATTGCAAGACTTAAGGCTAGACTTGTGGCTAAAGGCTATGCTCAGACTTATGGGGTAGATTATTCTGACACTTTCTCCCCCGTAGCTAAGCTCACCTCTATTCGTTTGTTTATTCCTTGGCTGCTTCTCAACATTGGCCTTTACATCAACTGGATATCAAAAATGCTTTCCTTTATGGTGATCTACATGAAGAGGTGTGTATGGAGCAAGCACCTGGGTTTGTTGCTTAGGGGGAGTCCTTGTGCATGGTTTGGAAAATTTAGAGACGTAGTTTAAGAATTTGGGTTGAAGAAGAGCAAGTGTGATCACTCAGTCTTTTACCGACAATCAATGACTGGTATTATTCTTCTAGTTGTCTATGTTGATGATATTGTGATTACATGAGATGATTGTACTGGAATTTTTTCTCTCAAGCAGTTTTTACATGCCAAGTTTCATACCACAGATTTGGGACAACTGAAATACTTCTTAGGTGTAGAAGTAGCTAGAAGCAAGAATGGGATTTTCTTATCTCAAAGAAAGTATGTACTTGACAGAAACTGGTAAGTTGGGAGCGAAACCGTGTGGCACACCAATGGCTCCTAATGCACATCTTACTAAGGATGATGCTGTACCTTTTGATGATCCAGAAAGATACAGAAGATTGGTTGGGAAACTAAACTACCTTACTGTGACTCGTCTAGATATTGCCTATGCAGTCAGTATTGTTAGTCACTTTATGTCTATACCAACAGTCAAACATTGGGCTGCCTTGGAACAAATTCTATGTTATTTGAAAGGATCTCCTAGCCTTGGCATATTGTATAGAGACCACACACATACTCGTGTTGAATGTTTTGTAGATACAGATTGGGCAGGATCAAGAATTGATAGAAAATTGACTACTAGCTATTGCGTCTTTGTTGGTGGAAATCTAGTATCTTGGAGGAGTAAGAAACAAAATGTTGTATCTCGATCTAGTGCAGAGTCCGAGTATAGCGCTATGGCTCAGTCCACATGTGAAATACTATGGATACAACACCTTTTAGCTGAGGTTGGTTTGAATCCTCTTTTCCAGCAAAACTTTGGTGTGATAATTAGGCTGTTCTTCACATTGCCTCAAATCCAGTGTATCATGAACGGACAAAACATATTGAGGTCGATTGTTACTTTGTCCGTGAGGAGATTGAAGAGAACGTGATTTCTACTGGCTATGTGAACACATGAGAGCAATTGGGTGATATATTGACGAAGGCTTTGAATGGAACTAAGGTGGAATATCTTTGTAACAAGTTGGGCATGATTAGTATCTATGCTCCAACTTGAGGGGGAGTGTTACAAAATGTACATAGTCATATCTACTCATAGCATAATTAGAGGTAGAGATCTTTAGGGATCTTAGAGATATTTAGGGATATTTTCTGATTTTATTTCCTTAGATAGATTTACATGTACACCTACAAATAGCTTTTATTCTTGGAATAATAGAACAATAAATTGGTCCATTGTCTCTATATTTTACAGATCTGTTTATTCTCCCCCAAGTACAAGTAATAAGGGTTAAATGGAGCGACTTGGACACTAGGCATTCATATACTTGATGCTAACTTGCTTGGCATTAAGACGTAATTGTTATTGTTGTACAATCAATAAGTATTGCAGAGTTGGAAGAGGATAGGGAAAAGAAGCTTTTGAGTTGTTTAGGGTCGGTGGGGAGGGTCCTTTCTATTGATACCCAATTTTGATCTAACATTTTCAAAATTCATAATTTTTAAGTTTTATTTATTCAATAGTTCAATATACATTTTTTATAATTTTAAATAAGTTTATCGATATTTATCCTTATTCGTCAAAATTTCAGAATTTTTTATTAGTTAATTTTAATTACATTATTTTTTCATCACAGTCGGTTGACTACGTTCAAATATTTGTTCATTTTGATTAAATCATTATTTCTGTTAAATTATATTTTTACATGTCATTGATTACGTTCATTACTTTTTTAATATTCATTTTATTTGTTACATTTATTAATATTCATTTTGATATTTGCACAGTCTAGAAATTCATTCAAATATGAATACGATTACATACACAAATAATTTATTAACCGGTGATTTTTGCCCACACGTGAACCACCATGCTTCTCCAAGCACAAGCTCAATCGGAAACCCCCAGACCTCTGGTGAAACCATTCTCGCTAAACAGCCATCACACTACCGAAACCCCATCAGAAAACCTCCATAGCCGCCACTACCGGAGCTCCGACCAATAAACCCCAACTCCATCAAACGATGAGCTCCAAGCTCTAAGATCAAGCCACAAACACTATGATGTTCATCATAAACTCTAAAAAAATTTTAAAAAATTGATGTTCATCCAAAATATGACGTTGATTTTTAAAATGAAAAAGTGGAAATGAAGAATATAAATAAAAATGAAGAAACTTGTCACTAAAAATACAACATAAACTGTTTCTTGTGCAATTACATAAGAGAGTTCTTGTGCAACCAAATAATACACTTATAATTATATTGTAATTATAATAATAAACATGTGTACGTAATATAATGCGTAATGACTAAGCTATGTAATAAATACCTTAATAACTACTTTTAAAAATAGATAATTGCATTTATTAGGAGAACCCATTTAAAAATCTAGTCAAATTACTTAGAAAGACTTTTGTGGATATCGACAAGTGCAATTAATAAGAAAATCCATTTAAAATTCTGTATATTAATTAAAAAGGTTTTTTTGTGGCAACTAGACTTGTCTCCTTCACTATATATAGACCCCAAATCTTTATTCTTCTCCCATAATTAAGCTTATTTTTTTATATTGATTTAAGGTTTTATGAAAAAAAGAGAAATATGTGTGGAATACATGGTTACCTTATCAAGTGTTCTTCAGTTTAATGTTCTATTGTTCTGGATCAGTGAGTATTCTTTTACAATTTTAATTAATTTTTTATAGAATGTTTCTTATAAGTTTTAGGCATGAGTCAATTTTTTTATATATATGAAATCACCAATTGTATCCTTAAGAAACATATATGAACATGGATCATGGGAAGATTTGAATTAAAACATGAATCATAATTCTTTTTCTTTCTATTCTTAACTTTTTTATTTAGCCACATAAATTTGCTTCCTTTAAAGCTTATATCAATAAATTTGCAATAATTAATAACATTTCAGAAGTCAGATGTTCGTGAAAATTAAGAGGATTTTCTCTCTTTTCTAGAATTATGAAGTAGTTCGTTAAAATCTTCACCTATTAACCATTTACTACAATAGTTATCCTTAATAGTTTTTATATTTTGCAATGAAAATTTGTGCATATTTCTATAAGTACTAGCATATATATAACTAAATATCCATGAGGTATTCATAGAGCTTACCTTGACCATATCATGTATTTTTTATGCAGTTATAGAAATTTCATCTAGCTCTAGTAAGTTATCATCCCACAACACAATAATTCCACTAGAGTTTCTTATAGGTGGGACCACAATCATATTGTTGAAAGAAAACATCAAGTAGAACTTGATGATCCTGCAAGTCTCCCACAAAGCTACCAAGGGAGGTCTATGCCAATCCAACACTGACCTAAAGTTTTCCTAAAGTCATAGTCATTCCCTCCCCTATAGTTCTATATTATGATACTTATGGATCTGTTCAGATTTGATGGGTTTATCATGGAAATGTTTCTTTTGAATTATATCAAGGCATCCATATTCAGATTCTTTAATGTAGGGTTCATTACTAAGACATAATTCCCTATCTGCGGGTTAAAAGGGTGCATAATATCTATTAAAATTTTCAAGAGATTCGGTGGACTGATAAGTATAAATTTCTTGTCGTATTTCTCATTGTAAATCATTGCTTTTATTTCCTTTAGCACAACTATTTTTGTTCTTGTTTCTCTCATTATCTCTAAAGCTTCTTCTAATTTATGGGTGTTTGTATTCACAAGTCTAAATGGAACTAAGTTTACAAGAGGGATCCCTCCTGTAAACTTAGTTCCATTTAGACTTGTGCATACAAAACCCATGAAATAGTGTAAGCTCTAGAAATAATGAGAGAAACAATGACATAAATAGTTTTGTTAAGGGAAATAAAAGTAATGATTTACAACAAAAAAATACAATAAGAAATTCATATTTAGCAGTCCACCAAATCTCTTAAAAAGCTTAATAGATATTGGACACCCTTTTAACCCTCAGATTGGGAATTATGTGCTAGTAATGAACCCAGCAGTGAAGAATCCGAACAAGAATGCCTCCATAGAATCGAGAAGGGACACTCCCATGATAAACCACCTAATATGAACAAATCTACGAACATCATAATATGAAACTATAGGGGAGGGAATGACCCGTATTTTAGGAGAAACTTTAGGTCACTGTTGAATTGGCATAGACCTCCCTTGGCTAGCTCCTCCTGTTTGGAGACTTGACCCAACTTCAGTTAGTTTGTTTATGTTGTTGACATATTTAGGTTGTTTAAATTTTAAATTATGCAGATTATGTGTTTTATGTTGGCTATTTAAAGCCCCTTAATGCTTAATAAATTTTTTGAAAGCTATGGAAAGTCATTTCAATCCATTGAGAGACATTTTCAATCCTTTTGTGCTCCCCCATTTTTAAAAAACACCAACAGTGGTATCAAGAGCTTCATTGATCCTAAGAGATCTGTGAAATCTTCCAAAGAACTACCATACATTTTTAACCCGTAAGGGCTACCTTTTTAACCCATCAGGGCTACCCATTTTAACCTATCAAGGCTACCTTTTCAACCGATGCTTTTTTCAACGCACATGCTTTTCTAAATCATTTTTTAACCAAAATAATGGCAAGCAACAATCTCTCTTTGAATGCCCCACAAATTTTCACAAACGAAAACTATCAAATTTGGTCTGTGAGAATAAAATCATATTTTGAAACATATGTGATATGTGAGGTTGTGATGGAAGAAAAACACTTACAGCCTCTCTCTGCAAATCATACAAAAGTTCAGATTAAAGCACTTTCAAAAAAACTTCTACACAATACAATATCATCGCACGTGTTTTTGAAGAACAAAATCAAAAGAAGATAAAGAAAAAAAGAAGAAATTTTGCAAGTTCAAAAACAATGAAAACAATCCAGCATCAACTACCAAACTACCAAAGCAAAAATTGAGGAGGAGCATTTTTTTCAATTGCAGTAACTAAAGCAAAGGAGGAGTGTTGAAGTTTGCTTGTAGTTACTGCAGTAACTTTTAGCAAAATAAGTTATTTAGTTTGAATAAATTTGAATTTTAGTTAGTTTGTTTATGTTGTTGAGATATTTTAGGTTGTTTAAATTTTAAATTATGCAGATTATGTGTTTTATGTTGTCTATTTAATGCCCCTCAATGCTTAATAAAATTATTGAAAGCTATTGAAAGTCATTTCAATCTATTGAGAGACATTTTCAATCCTTTTGTGCTGCCCCATTTTTAAAAAACACCAACAAGAATTATTCTTTTTGAATAGACTAAAAAGAAAGATAGATCACTTTTTGAAACAATTTTTTCACTGGTCAATTTTAATGCAATCTAATGATTAACAAGACTGATGCAACGAGAACAATAGAAGAAAACCTAGTATATTTCCCCACTTCTTAATCATGCAGATGGAGATAATATATAAAATACCAATTAATGATTTTATGTTAGTATTAAGCTTGTACAAGAAATGTTATTTGTTACATTTCCTCTCTTTTTGGAGAATGAACCATACTTTCGCTATTATACTTTAATATAACGATTGAAAAGCTATGATTTATATGCGAAGCATATAATATCATATTGTCCTAAAAAGACATAACAAATTATAGGTAAGTGATAAGTATAAAATGCGTACTTGAAAAAGTATAGAGATCAAGTAGTTAGAGATGAGTGATGACAATGGGTTGGGTGCAAGTAGGAAGGAGACAGATTGGATTTTATAAATGTTAGTGTGGTGCATAAAATCAAATAATTATTTACTACTAATGCTTATTTCTCTAACCGAATATATTTTTAATTACTCTCGACTCTTGAGCTTCTTATTCATCATTTTCGAAAGCTAGGGTAAATATCCCAAACTTAACATGTTCGAATAGATTGAAACTTTGGAAGTTCAAATGATAAACTTCAAATACTCCTTATGTTTTAAAATAATAGAGTTTTAATC